TAACTGACTACTGAATTCCCGTACGTAGGACGGGCTAACGCCTCGTTTAATATAAAGAAGAGTTTAATATAAAGATATTTAAATTTAATAATTAGTATTTTTGCAACTTCAAAATTGAAATTTAAAATGTCAATAATAAATTAAACGATGTGTAATTAAGGGAGATGAAGGTAAATCTGGTAAATCATGTTATGTCAAAGTTTTACTTGAAGATTTGGTCAGTTTTTCTCATATCAGCCTACACAAGATTTAAAATTAATCAAAACCAAAATGGTGGTATCCTCTACTTACCAGATTTAAAAGTCATAACTTTAAACGTTTCTATTAAGGCCATAAAAGATGAATTTTGTTTCTAAAAGCGTTGGCGGATGTGTAACTATTATATGCAAGAGATAAAGGTTAAAATGTTTCTATTTTGTGTCCTCTTCCCGTTGCAAAGCACGGGTACAACAGCTAGTTTTTTTAATAAATATTTAATAATGTTAGAACCGTCAGTGCCGGTATGTAAATTTAACGAAACAAGTTATAAGCAATAAGATTTTTATTTGAGGGAATCAATATTTTATCCCCACCAAAACTCGGCCTATGTAATTTTTATTGAGTACGCTCACTAATGAAATTAAACTTGTTTTGATTTATACCTGGTTAAGACATCCATCTGAGTTCTTGCATGGTTGTTCAAGTCCTTTCCCCAAGGCTTCTGCATTCTGAGATATAACCTGGAGAGTAATAAACACACGACCAAATCAACACTTGAGAAATTTAACTACAGGTGAATATTAATCAGGCGATAATCAGATGTTTCTTAATGTTCTAACTCTTGTCACATATAAAATGAAATCAACGCGAGAAGACTGTGAACTAGGTTTATGAACGGGTTTATTAAATTCTGATCACACAAAAGATTAAGGTGCAAATACTTAATACCAAATCAATTTGCCTTGTTGCAAATCTCAATTAAATATCTAGAAGAAATTGTTTCTCATTTAATTCGTTCAGATTTCATACTGGAATATAACGGTAAAATTATTATACAGCAAAATGAGCTGTTTCTCCCTTGAGTTTTACGTTTTGTGAAGATCAATCTGAATTTTAAAACTTTACTTTACTTACAGCTTTCAACAGTGTTTGTCTGCTTTACGTCTATTGAACTTTGTATTATAAGATAAGAAGTGTTGCAAAAAGTGGTGTGATTTCTCCAACGTACATTTCATTTCATAGTTTCAAAGTATTATATTGTCTGTGGTTTCACTGTTATTGACTGACTGGGTTGCTGAGTGGTTATATTGCTCCTTCAAAACTAAAGGAACCTAGTTCAATCCGAACAAGATCGATGCTAGATACAAATGCCTTTTGTCACTAGATGCTATAATTAATTATGCCTTCTAACAAAAATCTGAAGTTGCTAACTAACTGTGGAACGTGGTTTCATAGGGTGGTAATTAGTTCTTCCCGTTTTTGACCCTCAAAACAAAATGTTTTACAAATCTCTCTCTCTCTGTGTAATTTAAAAGATATAGATATATCTTTGTGATTTTTATCTTTTATGTCGTTATGAAGACATAAAAAACCAGTAGTTTAGTTTATTGAAGAGTTGTTTTAAGAGTAATGGTTATGGGAAATATGTCATAAAACAGTAAATATTTTTTTTTAAATCCCATGTTATTGTCATGGAGATTAAGATAACTATTGCGGTTTGCTTGTTTATGGATGTATTTTGATAAAATTTAACAAACTTACTTATATCATACTAAGCTTTGTACCAAACATTTAACTAAAAAACACGCCTTATTACGCTCCCTGTGGCAGTAATCCTAAATACTTCTTAATCCTAATGTTTTTTAAATAGGGAATAAATCTGACAAGTTTAAGGAAATAGCTTAGCGAAAATCCAATCAGATAATAATTCACTTGGTCTTCAGGTTCACTGTGGCGCGGGTCCCTGTTTTTTTTTGTAGGATCCTAAGCCTGTCCTGTTCTTAAAACGTTGTCTTTCGTTAAAAATCATCATTGACTGATGATAAACAATTGACATCTGGGTCCGGGATCAACCCCGCTGAGATCGACTACAGTCTATAACTACTATAACTTTTCAGCAACGTTTCTATAACTACTCAGCAACCCAGAGAAAAACTTATTACAGTAAAAAAATAAAGTCAACATAAATACAATAAAGAAATAACTTGAATGTAACATAATTGTAGTACGATCTTCATGAGTGGTTGATATGAAAATTTCTGAATCTAGGCTACGTTGAACAGTGTTAAAAACATTTAAACAAATTGTTGTTTTATTATATTTTAAATAATTTCTCCAAGATGTTCAAATAGTTAGAATTAAATTTCAATTTAAATAATAATTATTACAAACATAAACAAGTGACTTACCAGGGAAGGAATTATGAGCAGGAGTACCAGTTGACTGACTACCATTGCCCAGACGTGACTATCTTTGCCAGTTCAGTCAATATCACTGCCAAATAAGAATACGTGACTTTGGACAGATGGCAAATTGCAAAGTTATAACACGTGGTTTAAACAGTCTGCATGAACTCACCTCCATTATTGAACGAGTTAACGTCACAAAAAATGTTATTGTTATTACACTGCAAAGCATTTTTTGTGAAATTAAGAAGTAAAATACGACACTCATCTTCCGATTCTTAATTATGCATTGGAAAAATTCACCTTTGGAAGATTTTTTGAGTTTGCTGAAATTTGTATCCCCAGAAAAGATGTACGAATATGTTTTATTATGTTATTAGTATTCAAATAAAATGTCTATCATCACTAGAATACAGTAACCATATTTGAACACAAGTGACAACAAACAACCTTGTCGATATTTAATACAGTTTATCGTATGGAATTGTACATCTACTTATGGTTGATATGTTATGCGTGTGGAAACACTATGATCTATTTTTTTAATAAGGGACCGAGCCATGGCTCGGTTCGGTATATTTCATTTCGACTATGAAAACAATATAAAGGAAACTCACGTTAAGACGTGAGTCAACGTCAAGGCTGCATGTGATGCCGTGTTGCAAAGTTTACATCTTTTTGGCTTTTATTATTTTATCATGAAAATACGATTATGTTTACTGATTGTAAGGGGTTTGTTTTATTTCTCAGTACTAATCTAAATCTTCCTTTAAATAAAAGTAAAACTTCAGCATGAGTATATTCTCTAAAATACTCTCGTATGATGGATTAGTTGAAGACAGATAAGTCCGATTCAAGCGTATATTGTTTACTATAACGATTATTGTAATACAATCAACTTTAATACTAATTAAACTGAATACTGCTGTCCAAATTATGTAAATTATAAAAAAGAGTGCATAAGAATTGTAAATCTAACCTTAAATAAGAGTTTAAAAAAAGTAGTTGAAGTGCACTCAAACGTCACCAACACAGAACACTCATCAACACTTGCTCTATTTCCCCCTATATCTAGTAATCTTTGGTGTAATATTTTTTCAATAGTTTCTCCTGGTGTTTTTCATTTGTACTGAATTCTGTAATTTTCTTGTTATAAACACATAGTATAAGTCTTTTGTTTACTTTTTCCTTGTTATTTTGTTCAACCAACATATATACTAACATATATACCAACATATATACTTGGCAATCCGTAAGGCCAATGTAAAATCTTTTAGTGAGTTGTGTAGAGAAATACTGCACGGATTTTCATGTGGTAGTGGCTGTCACCAGTCATGTTTTAGGGTTAAAAGCCCCTAATTCCAAAAATTAGTCAAAATCCTTCCGCTGGATTTATAGATATATATTTTCAGACAGACAGACTTTGCTCGTATTAGAGTATAGTGATCAGTGAGTGAGTGGTATTTGACTTGTATTTATCTTTAAATATATATTGTTTGTGAATTTAGTATACAATAATTTATAAATAAAAAACTTTTTTAAAACAAAACGTTTTTAACCGCACTAAAAAGTAGAAAATAATTTACAGATATGTGGAGAGCATAAATACTTGTAAGATTTAAAACAAAAACGTGGGGTGAAGTAGGTGATAGATAATTATTTACAATTACCTTCACATATTGAACAAATGTATTATTATCAATTGCATGCACCCCACGTTTTTCGTTTTAAATCTTACAAGTATTTGTACTCTCCACATATTTATAAATTATTTTCTACTTTTTAGTGCGTTTAAAAACGTATTGTCTTAAAAAAGTTTTTTATTTATAAATTATTTTATACTTTTTAGTTATAGTTTATAAAGAATCTCTTGGGAGCATAACCTGTACCATGATATGATTTATCTATGCCTGTACCTCTTAACTCTTAACCTCTGCTCTTCGAACTGTCAAATTTAAGCATTTACAGCTGACTTAAATTAATTGATATATTTACATTCTTTCAAAATGTAAACATGGAAAATTTGGAAGCCCATGGGGCGTAGCCCAAGGGAAATATGAAAATTAAATGATATAACATTGCATTGTCATCCATTTGTGAGCTATGTTTCAAATTTCAAGTCTCTAGCTCATCGGGAACTTAGTTTAAAATTGATATCAAAATTTGTTGGAAAGCGAGATAATAAAAACAAGCCCATGGGGCGTAGCCCAAGGGAAATATGAAAATTAAATGATATAATATTGTATTGTCATCCATTTGTGAGCTATATTTCAAGTTTTAAGTCTCTAGCTCACCGGGAAGTATCAACATTTGCAAGAAAGCGAGTTAATAAAAATAAGCCAATGGGGCGTAGCCCAAAGGAAATATGAAAATTAAATTATATAATATTGCATTGTCTTCCATTTGTGAGCTAAGTTTCAAGTCTCTAGCTCATCGGGAAGTTAGTATAAAATTGATTGCAAAATTTGTACTGGACAAGAGTGCGAGCTAATAAAAACGTTTTTAAATGATGAACAGAATAGAAAAAAACCAAATACAACAACTTAAATATTTCAAAATGTTGACGTCATTATGTAACCTGACACCTTTGGATATCAAAAATATTAACAAGAAACGAATTTTTGTATTAAGTATCTTTATTGCACAATTATATTTAAATACGCTAACTACTTAAAAGAGAACTATGTGAATCAATCCCTAACAGATGTTTCTTCGGATGATGAAGACCAAGACTCAAAAGATGAGACTTTCATCTCTTTCATAGTTTCTTCCCCAGAATCATCTTTCTCCCCAGTCTCCTTATGTATATTTACGTCTTCATTTTCATGTACATTTTTCCCCGCATCACTTCCCATATCAGTTATCTTTTTGTCCTCATGTTCAGCCCCAACGCTTTTCTTATCATCCTGTTTCTTGTATTGGTTTGCCTGATATTCGTGAATTATACTGCCCTGATTCCCATCGTCATCTCCCGAGTAGCGTTCACGCTGTTTTAAATCCTGTTTCTTAAGGAGCTCGTTATAAGTTTGTTCTTTCGATATGTAATTATCTTTTTTATCGCTATTTTTATTTGTATGTTCTTGTTTCTGTTCCTCCTTTTTGGGATAGTTCAAGTCATAGCCCTTGTTGGCTTTCCCTATTTTGTGGCTATCCCCGTTGTGATGGTCCGTGTCATGTTTCTTTTTGTCAACATGTTTTATTTTTTCATGTTGATTTTGTTGTTTGCCCTTTTCGTCATGGTTCGAGTCATGTTCCTTGTTGGGTTTCCCTATTTTGTGGTTATCCCCGTTTTGATGGTCCATGTCATGTTTCTTTTTGTCACCATGCTTATATTTCTCATGTTGATTCTGTTGTTTGCCCTTTTCGTCATGCTTCGTGTCATGTCCCTTTTTGGGTTTCCCTATTTTGTGGTTATCCCCGTTGTGATGGTCCGTGTCATGTTTCTTTTTGTCACCATGTTTTATTTTTTCATGTTGATTTTGTTGTTTGCCCTTTTCGTCATGGTTCGAGTCATGTCCCTTGTTGGGTTTCCCTATTTTGTGGTTATCCCCGTTGTGATGGTCCGTGTCATGTTTCTTTTTGTCACCATGCTTATATTTCTCATGTTGATTCTGTTGTTTGCCCTTTTCGTCATGCTTCGTGTCATGTCCCTTGGTGGGTTTCCCTATTTTGTGGTTATCCCCGTTGTGATGGTCCGTGTCATGTTTCTTTTTGCCCCCATGCTTATATTTCTCATCTTGTTTCTTGTGTTTGCCGTTTTTGTCATGGTTCGAGTCATGTCCCTGGTTGGGTTTCCCTATTTTGTGGCTATCCACGTTATGATGGTCCGTGTCATGTTTCTTTTTGTCACCATGCTTATATTTCTCATCTTGTTTCTTGTGTTTGCCGTTTTTGTCATGGTTCGAGTCATGTCCCTTTTTGGGTTTCCCTATTGTATGGTTATCCCCGTTGTCATGGTCCATGACATGTTTCTTTTTGTCACCATGCTTATATTTGTCATGTTGTTTGTGGTTTTTGTCCTCTTTTTCGTCATGGTACGAGTCATGACCCTTGTTGTGTTTTCCCATTTTCCGGTTATCCCCGTCTTGATGGCCCATCTCGTGTTCCATTTTTTCGTAATGTTTGTATTTGTCGTGTTGTTCCTTACGATTCTCCTTTTCGTGATGATACGAGTCATTCTCTTTGTTGTGTTTCCCTATTTTGTCTCTATCCCCGTCGTGATGGTCTATCTCGTGTTTCTTTTTGTCGTAATGCTTGTATTTTTCGTGTTGTTCCTTGCGTTCATCTTTTTTGTAATGTTTCGACTCATGTCCCTTGTCATGTTTCCGTATTTTGTCGTTATCCCCGCCATGATGCTCTATCTCGTGTTTCTTTTTGTCGTAATGCTTGTTTTTGTCGTGTTGTTCCTTACGATTCTTCTTTTCGTGATGATACGAGTCATGCCCCTTGTTGTGTTTCCCTATTTTGTCTCTATCCCCGTCGTGATGGTCTATCTCGTGTTTCTTTTTGTCGTAATGCTTGTTTTTGTCGTGTTGTTCCTTACGATTCTCCTTTTCGTGATGATACGAGTCATTCCCCTTGTTGTGTTTCCCTACTTTGTCTCTATCCCCGTCGTGATGGTCTATCTCGTGTTTCTTTTTGTCGTAATGTTTGTATTTGTCGTGTTGTTCCTTACGATTCTCCTTTTCGTGATGATACGAGTCATGCCCCTTGTTGTGTTTCTCTATTTTGTCGCTATCCCCGTCGTGATGGCCCATCTCGTGTTCCTTTTTTTCGTAATGTTTGTATTTGTCGTGTTGTTCCTTGCGTTTCTCCTTTTCGTGAAGGTACAAGTCATGTCCCTTGTTGGGTTTCCCTATTTTGTGATCATCTCCGTCTTGATGGTCCATCTCGTGTTCATTTTTTTCGTAATGTTTGTATTTGTCGTGTTGTTCCTTACGATTCTCCTTTTCGTCATGGTACGAGTCATGCCCCTTGTTGTGTTTCTCTATTTTGTCGCTATCCCCGTCGTGATGGCCCATCTCGTGTTCCTTTTTTTCGTAATGTTTGTATTTGTCGTGTTGTTCCTTGCGTTTCTCCTTTTCGTGATGGTACAAGTCATGTCCCTTGTCATGTTTCCCTATTTTGTCGTTATCCCCGCCGTGATGGTCTATCTCGTGTTTCTTTTTGTCGTAATGCTTGTTTTTGTCGTGTTGTTCCTTACGATTCTCCTTTTCGTGATGATACGAGTCATTCCCCTTGTTGTGTTTCTCTATTTTGTCGCTATCCCCGTCGTGATGGCCCATCTCGTGTTCCTTTTTTTCGTAATGTTTGTATTTGTCGTGTTGTTCCTTGCGTTTCTCCTTTTCGTGATGGTACAAGTCATGACCCTTGTTGTGTTTTCCCATTTTGTCGTTATCCCCGCCGTGATGGTCTATCTCATGTTTCTTTTTGTCGTAATGCTTGTATTTGTCGTGTTGTTCCTTACGATTCTCCTTTTCGTGATGGTACAAGTCATGTCCCTTGTCATGTTTCCCTATTTTGTCGTTATCCCCGTCGTGATGGTCTATCTCGTGTTTCTTTTGGTCGTATTGCTTGTATTTTTCGTGTTGCTCCTTGCGTTCATTTTTTTTGTGATGTTTCGTTTCATGTCCCTTGTTGTGTTTTCCTATTTTGTCGCTATCCCCTTCGTCATGGTCCATCTCGTCTTTCTTTTTATCGTAATGTTTGTATTTGTCGTGTTGTTCCTTGCCTTCCTCTTTTTTGCCATGGTTCGAGTCATGTCCCTTGTTGTGTTTCCCTGTTTTGTGGTTATCCCCGTCATGATGGTCCATCTCGTGTTTCTTTTTGTTGTAATTCTTGTATTTGTCGTTTCGTTCATCTTTTTTGAGATAGTACGAGTCATTTTCTTTGTTTTCTACCCCTATATACTGGTTATCACCGTTTTGATGCTCCTTGTCATTCTCCTTTTCGTAATGGTTCATATTGTGCTCCTTATGATAATTTTGTTCCTTGTGTTCATCGTTTGTGTGATATTTCATATAACGTTCCAATTTTTCTTCTTCTTTATTTTTGTCTTTCTGTATCTTTTGGTTTTCGTTTTTGTGATCTGAGTTTCTTTGGTCATCCTGATTGTCCCAATGGTAATCCTTTTGATTTTGATTTTTATCTTTAGTTTTCACATGGTGTCCATTATAATTGTGTCTCTCGTCGTTGCCTTCATTGCGGCCGTATTTTGCACTACCGTCTTCTTTCTTGTCGTATTGCTCATCGGTGTCTTCTTTACGGTATAATTTTCCATTGTCGTCTTCTTTATGGCCGTATCTCTCATCGTCTTCTCCTTTATGGTAGTTGTCGTCATTGTGGTGTCTATAATGATCATTTTTATGGTTTTTGTCATGTACCAATTCCTTTTCGTGCATTTCATTGTTGGATTTCTTGTAGTGCCGATAGCGCGTGTCTCCCTTATCGTTATATTTATCACGCCCTTCTCCTTTATTGTGGTGCCTATTACGGTCATATTCCTTATCTTTGTGACCATCGTCATATTCTACATCGATGTTTCCTATACGGTCGTATTTCTTACGGTAGTGTCCATCGTTTTGCCCTTCATGGTCGTATTTTTTATTCTTCCCTTCATCTTCTTTATTGTGGTATTTTTCATGGACATGTTCTTCATCGTCGCCTTCTTCACGGCTATATCCCTTTTTGTGACGGTTTTCACTTTCGTATCCCTTTTTGTAGGGTCTATCACGGTCATATTCCTTACCGTGGTTTTCATCTTCGTAGTGTCCTGAATTGTTGTTTGTGTTGGATCCTTCGTAGTGGTCACTTTGGTATCTTCCCTTTTCCCGATGTTCATTTTTACCAAATTGATAATTTTCTTTACTGGACTCTTTTCGCTCATATTTTTCAGGCATTGTATCTTTTAATTTAATACGTTCCCCGTTGTATCCTTCATATTCTTCTGTGTGTTCCGAGATGTCTTCATTTTCCTTACGTTCTTTTCCCTTTTCTTTCACGTGTTGATTTTTGTATCCATCGTAGAATTCTTTATTCTGTTTTTCCCCAGAAATCTTCCCTTGACACTCGTATGTATGTTTATGCACATTGATATTTACCACTCCACACTCTTTATTTACAATCGTATATTCACCGTCCTTATAGGGGTTTTCTTGCTCATGTGATCCATACAATTTATTATCCTGCTTGGAGGCCTCTTTCCCTGCATGAGGAGTTTGAGATGTCACTCTGTCATCGCCGTATGATCGTATAACCTCGTAATCCTCGTCAATACTGTGTGGATACTTTTCTCTCTGACGGGCCTCATACAGTTTGATCAGATGGTTCATATTGTCTTCTGCTCGCCTGATATACGATTTGCATTCATTCTTACCTGAGACAGTTCTGCACAATAGGCCCATACAGAACTTATTTGCGCATCTTTCCCCCTCCACTCGCCACTGTGACTTCTCAGGGTTTCTTCCTCCGTGCTCGCATGAACCCGAGTAATCCTGGAAAAATCATTAGTTTTAAGTTGTTTTATCATAACGATAAATTCGATTTCATTTAATAGAGATCCATAAACATTCTGTTACAACGACTTAAGTATTCAACAACTGTCCTAGATTGAGGACGCCCATAAAATAATCCGATTTCTGGGAGTATCAATAATTAGATACGAATAATACTTCTTTAAGGTGTATAAGTCACAGAGTACTTTTTATTTTATTTTGAATATGGAATCGGGTTTCATCAGTTTAATAAATTGTTTAATAGAGGCACACACTTGGATACCTATTTTAAGCTGAGTACGAATGCGGTGCGGGAATGGAGTGGAATACTAGAACAAACACTCTGTATGGATCATAAACATAATACAAACTATGTAACTTACTGTCCCGAAAGTAAACATTATTTAATATGGCTTAAATTGAACTGTCTAATCCTTATAGATTTAAAGTGACTGAGAATAGGTGTGCTTTTAGCTATCAATTACTGAAATTTCAATTTATTCTCATAGACAGCTAGGCCCAGTTCCGGATCGTCAACATTCTTCAGATCTTTTCCAGGGTCGAACTGGCAACCTTTTGATTGTTGTTACCGAGGGTCGCCGGAATATTATCCCCCTGGAATTTTACCCCCTGGGCAAAGCTGACGTCACTATGACGTATGACCTGAGCGTTCAAAACTTTGTTCGCGGGCGGAATTTTACCCCCGCGGATTTGAAAGTCTAATTAAAATAGACAGAGCATGATTAATTAGATTAGCGATAAAACCCAGAATTTTACCCCGTGTCCATATAACTAGCTTTTAGACAACTGTAGAAGTACGGCCCGGATGTTAAACCCCGGAATTTTACCCCCTGGCCAGATATAGAAATTATTAAGAATTATTGATTTTCTTTTATCTATTTTTATTTCATTGTTAACATTTTATTATTAAGTAGTCTATCTTTATTTATTTATCTTGTAATCTCAACTAAGTAAAAAAAATCGCTGTTTAATTTTGATAACATAATCCAACAGTTGGCTTCAATGATCGAATTCTGATTGTCGAATCTCAAAATTAAAATTAAAGACCTGTTCGATTAGTTGGTGTTACAAATAAATTAAGATAGGCTACTTAACAATAAAATGTTTACTATTAAATGTAAACCGAATAAAGAGAATTAACCATTCCCACTAATTTATATATCTGGCCAGGGGGTAAAATTCCAAGGGGGATAAAAATCCGCTACCCAGTTACCGAGCTACACAAGGTATACAATGCGCTCGCCATATTTATGCAGAAAAAATCGACTGGTGAAATCTTTTTTAGAATTATTAATTTATCTGTTGTAGCTTCAATGCATGAGTTACAAGATAATATAATATCATTTTTGAATTCATGAAATAATCGAATTAAACATAAATGTTCACAACAACTGTCTTACGCAATAGTAGTTTACCTCAATCCATTCACAAACTTAACATTAATCCACCTTTATCTTTTTTCAAGAAATGTATTTGGTGTATGGTTCAGCAAATAAAGATTTATTTGTTTGGTTGCTTGACGAATCGTTGAGTTTGCTAGTCCTCATTATAGATGTTCAAAGTGGTCTCTTAAGCTTATAAATATTTGTCTTGTAGAAAACAATTTTTTTATAGTTTTTTTTTTGTAGTTTTATTGAGATAATTGAAACAATTCAAATTGTAAAACATCTGAATTAAATAACAAGGCCGATCTTTATACATAATAAATAATGTTTAATATAACTAACCTAATAAACTAATACAATTTAATGTGTTTCAATATCTAAATAGGATAATTACGGGGTAGCGGATTTTTATCCCCCTGGAATTTTATCCCCTGGGCAAAACTGACGTCACAAACCAGGGGATAAAATTCCGGCCGAGAACTTTTGAGTTGCACAACATCAGTTCGATGGATTATAGGTAGAATTAAACTTATATTTTCACGGTTGTGAATTTAATCAGAACACATCAAATTATAAAAACCTAGAGTGTACGGGCCGGAATTTTACCCCCGGACTTTTACCCCTTCATGAGGTCAGCTCGAAATGTACGGCCCGGATTTTTACCCCCTAAATTTAACCCCGCGGATTTTTACCTCAGGAATTATGCCCCCTGGCTAGATATAGAAATAAGAGAGAATGATTAATTTTCTACTTTAAGTTTTAATTTAATAGTAAACATTTTAATATTAAGTAGCTTTTCTTAATTTATTTGTAGCCTGCTTAACTAATCAAACAGGTTTTTCATTTTAATTTTAATTTTAATATTCGAGTTTCGGGATTCGAGTTTTGGGGCTAACTGTTGGTTAATATGTAGCCTATATACACACTTTTGGGTTTCTTGCAGTAATCAACACAACAATTGGTCGAATAATTTTTGCCGGATGCCTACAACTACATTTTACAAAAGGTATTTCGATGACCATTCTCAGTAAAAACCATAAATAGCTAATAGTTTGTGCCTTGATAAAACAAAAAGGCATATTGTGTTATTGTACGACAGAAACTAAATACATTTTTTTCCACGGTAGTATAATAAATCGTTTAAGAAATGTTCCCCAATTATCATTTAAATGAGATACTCAGTTTGTTATACATACTGTACATATTATCCAACAGTTGGCCCCAAACCCAAATCCCGAATATTAAAATTAAGCAGCGAAACCTGTTTACATAGTTGAGATTACAAATAAATTAAGATAGGCTACTTAATAATAAAATGTTTACCACTATTAAATTCCAACTGCTCGGATTTTTAACCCCGGATTTTCAACCCCAGAATTTTACCCCCGGAATGTTACCCCCTGGCTAGATATAGAAATTATTGATAATTATTAATTTTCTTCTTTAATTTCTATATCTGGCTGGGGGTAACATTCCGGGGGTAAAAATCCGGGGGTAAAAATCCAGGGTTAAAAATCCGGGCCGAACATCTACAGTTGCCTAAACGCTAGTTATATCGACAGGGGGTAAAATTCCGGTTTTCACGCTCTGTCTATTTTCATAAGACTTCCAAATCCGCGGGGATCAAATTCCGCCCGCGAACAAACTTTAGAGCGCTCAAGTGATTACGTCATAGTGACGTCAGCTTTGCCCAGGCGGTAAAATTCCAGGGGAATAAAGTACGTGTCCAAAGTTGCAATAATACAAACCTTGTTTTTGCATCCGCCAGGACATCGACAAGGCCTTTGGTCTGGTAAAGAATGTACCTAAAACAATTGACTTAGTTACTAATACAAATTTTTTAAGGATAAAATTAGAGTTGTTTTATATAATTTTAACACGTTATTATTATATCAGGAGGTAAGTTTTTATTTCGACTATATAAAAAAAATCATGTAGTGACCTTTTGAATTCGTTCTTATATATTATTTTCTTTTATATTTTTTCTAGTATTTTTTCTTATATATGTTATATTGTTTTCAATCGTATAATCTTAATGAATGTGTTGCTTACGGTATTTCTAGTAGAGACAACTTATCTAGAGATATTCTTTACCTTTTTGATAAAATTAATTTGTGTCACAATGAGAATCACCTACATTATGTTACTTTTAAAATCACTTCTGTACGAAATACCCAAAATATCGCTTTATGCGTTGAGACGATTAATAGAACTTGACGTTCCATTCCAATGTTAGATTTGTGACCAGTTCTAGAATAAAAAAAAATTAAATTGTTGAATTGAATCACCGACTGACTAGACACAGACAAGATACAGGGTGTCCCGATGGCGAGTACAGTACTGATTTCCATCGTTTACTGAACCACATTGAAAGGTAAACATACTATTAAATATGTATTTTTGTGCCATATCATAGAAATAAGATACAAATTATTCTTTGATATAATCTTGATGTAATCTTTTATTATAGTACTTCATCATGGAACTAGAACTAAGAGAAAAATAATTTTGACAGTAGCATGGTTACTGGTTAGTGGCGTATTGATGCTGTGTTTGATTTTATAATTGCTACAGCCTGTAAATATAGCTCCTGATAGGCCTACTTAAAAATCAATTTGAAATCTCGTCAGAAAATAACAGCTGTTTGCTGTTTTCATCTAAGAATATAGTGAACGAAAAAGTAACTAAATAATTTTACTTTCTTACGAGATACGGAAAAAAACAAAACAGATAATTTTGACAAACACCCATTGAGCTTACAAAATCGTTCGATTTAAAACTAACGAGTACAAAATTCAATACTTAGGATAGCTTAGTTTACCAACGAAATTGACATAATATTTTATGGAAAGTGTTGCAAACATCCGCTTGTACAACGCACTGACAATTTTTGGTTGATTGTTAAATTCATAGTGCACTATAAAATTGCTATTACAATAAAGCTGAGTAACGTGAAAAAAACTCTTTACTTACATAAACAAAAAATAGAACCAGCAGCAAACATTTTACCCTCATGGTTGAATTATAACTGGAGACGTGAGAATTTCTAAACATGTGACCAAAACGTACGTGCCTCTTGGTGTACAGTTACAAGAGATTTAGTTTGTATCTGTTTTAAGTATTTGCACTCAACTTGAAAAGTACAAAATTAAGATAACTGTAATATTTTCTTTTCCACGTTAATATTTTACATGTTGATGAAGACTGCAGGAGACGATAACCGTCGTGTTGTTAGCTTCCACGACTCAAATAGTTGATGTACTTCCACATAAATATTGATACAATTTTTAGACAAACTATGAAGCTTATTTCTAACATCCTTTTTTACATTGATAGTGAGGAATAATAAACCCGTACAAATAGGAATATCATAAGATTAACCACCTAATAATTTTACACAACTAGCATAGGCTTAAAAATAGATTTCCGCCGATCTTAGTAATATTAGAAATGTGAAATTTGTGTGTTTGTTTGTTTGAAATTCAATCACGCATTAATTGCTGGTCGGATTTGGTTGAAATTTGGCATGGTGATAGCTCACATTTCCGATTAAAAATACACAAACTTCTCAAACATAAATTCAAATTCAAAATTCTCAGAACATATAGACATATTCTTATCTCAAAAATTCTTTTGGGCTCTGTCCCAGTGGCTCTAGAGTTTTCAATGTTTTATGAATACTAGTGTACATGTTGCTCGAATTCGAGCAATTACAAAGTATTACAGGAGTTATTTCAGATTGAATAACAGTCATATTTACAATGAATTTAAAAGAGTCAACTCAAATATTGCCGTTGTGTAACTCAGACCCTGTTTATCTTCGTTATTGATAAACCTAAAGCATTCCGGACGGTTCTCTCCTTCTCAAAATGCCTCGCTGTACAGGCAACACAGGTCATTAATAGAGGGCCAATTGAGAACGAAAAGTCGTTTTGGGGTAGTGTAAGGGCGCATTCGTAACCAAATAGTTGAAGTTTTCCAGGTTCATGTTGAGACTGTTAAGCTGATGAGTTAAGCCTATTACGCGCCACTGTTCTGTAGTTGCGGTCGTTATCACGATTGCGCCTCCTGTCTATGTTTCGTTGTCGTTGCGTCGGAGACATTTAAAAGAAATAAACAACAAATAATAAACAAATTATAGCTACACAAAACGACGATAAATGCACAAATTTAAGTTACAATCATGCTAACACAATCCATCATAGCGACACAAAACAACGATAAATACACAAATTTAAGATACAACCATACTAACACGATCCGTCTTGGGGGTTATGTTTACACAAACTCAAATAGTAAATAAATGTACTCAATGTGTTTCATTGAATTGAAAAGTAAATAACAGCAATAAAATTATACAGCTGATCAAAATGTAAACAACTATGTTCTTCATAAGGATAACATGGGAACTTTTAAAGCCACTGGGGCAGAGCCCAAGGGACTTTTTCAAAAATGTAAGGTCAGTTTGCAAATCTACGTGACACGCTCTTTCCAATGAGACGTCAATGGATAAAATCGGTTAAGAAATGGCGGAGGAGTTCAACCGACAAACTTTCGTGTAGCGTATTAATTATATAGATTCATATTTAAATGGAATTAAAGAATTTTGTCAGCTGTTTCAACTACACAAGTTGGTTCTATGATATTCAATAGCATTAAAAAGTTATAAGGTTTGCCAATAGGGTGCAGCACTATTTTCTTTTTTTTCAATTATGACAAAAGCTAATTTGTACCATTGACTATACACAGAATTTTCTGTTATAGTCAATGTTTGTACCAAGCAGCAACAAAGTTGTGAGAACTTTACTTTTTTCTATTGTTTAGGTGTGGAGGTAGAACATTATGGCTTCATTCGGAATATTTGTACACGAACCTGCTGAAGAGTTCCCTAAATATCCTTTGGATAGGCCAGAAGATTACCTAGTTTAACATCTTCGGCCAAGGATAGGAAATCTCTTTCTAATTTAATATTCATAGGTATCCTTTATGTTTTGTTTTTTTAATTATTCTTCAAAAATACCTTCGCCAAATGGAGAAGGTAAGGTCACTTTGGTGTTTGTTCCACCTAAATGACGATGATTATGTTCATCACATTTCCATCGGCCTAATAATACCTGTAATATATGTAAGCTAAATTAGGTTATCTCTATCTAACTTAACGTCCTTTGGTTAAGTTCAGTTGTCAATGACTAAACAACCCAACATCCTTTGGCCCAGTTAGGTTATCTTTGCCTAACCAAACATCTGTTAGCTCAGGTTATCTCTATGCAACCTAACGTTTTAGTTAAGTTAGTTTGCCTCTATCTAATCTAACGTCCTTTGGTTAGGTTAGGTTTTCTCTGCCTAACCTACCATCCTTTGGCCCCGTTAGGTTATCAATGCCTAACCTAATTCATTTAGGTTGGGTTAGTTTATCTATATAGACCCAAATTTTCACGAATATTTATCCCATTTACCACATAACACCGAAGCAAGGAATATACTTACTGTCTCACTTAAATTATCATACGCAGTGATGGACTAAAATGACGATTAAAACAAATATTGGACAGGGAAGCACATACATACATCTTTTTAGTCCTAAAGGAACACGGGAAAACCAACTTGGATGACATGCACTCAATGCAGTAAGTGTTTACTTTGGATGCAGCAAGCCCCTGATGCAATGAAATAGCCATCAAGGACAGGAAAATGTCTTCTAAGGCAAACAGCCTTAGGTACTTATTAATGCTCAGGCACATGAGTCCGCATTCCACGTCAAGGATAACGTCTCGGAGCTTCTTCGCTTTCTCTGGTGACGCAACAGGTGATTTTGAAGCTCGGCGATTTTGAAAATTCGTGATTGTAGAGTTTGTACCCCGTAAATAAACACCCGACTGGTTTAGCACTGCGCAACTCCGGTTTAATTTGCCAAGCCGATCATAACGGTGGGTCCTGTTTTATTAGAAAACGTTACCCGTTAAGGTAGTCTCCTGTTCTGAGTTATTGCTTCAAATTATAGTTGCTGTCGCCTTTAGCTACTCTAGTACAGATTTACGATGGTCTTCCTTCGTTTTGAGAATTTTAAATGTTTGGATTACTGATGAATATCCGTACAATATCTGCTTGTACCCAGGCCCTGCGTTTTCAATTGATAATAATCAAGCTATATTGATATTCGCAGTATTAGTTTTGGCCAGACACACGTTGACATTCAAAACTAGCTAAATGGATAAAATTAATTGTTTTTTTTTCAATCTACTGACAAATAAACAGTGAATTGACGATGGTGAGGAATACAATCCAATTCATCAAGGTTCGAAGGGGGTGTTAACCTCAAAGAATAGGATATCTTCAGCTGGTCCACAAGGCTGAATCCATAATGGAGAGTCTTGATCCATTATGCACAAGCAGTTTTGAACGATGATTACTGCTCTCGTAGCATTTATGCTGTGTATACACGTAAGCGGTGCAACATTGAGTCGATGATTCAAAATTCAAAAATTCAAAAATTCAAAAATTCAAAATTCTTTATTAAGTGCTCTTTTACAGCTTAACAGCCAATTACATACGGCACTAATACACAATAACATAAACTACATGCATGACAACTATCCTACAGCAAACAGCATACAACTTTGATACCTACACATAAAAATTAAAAAAAAACACAATTGAAATAGTTTTAAACTAGTTTTTAATAACTATATTACTTATGGATGAATAAATAAATAACTGATAAATAAATAAATGTATATACACTAACAAAGAACCATAAATAGACAATAATATGCAACATGCAACCAGCAAAAATGATGTACCTAATTTCAATGTCTCACGGGAGTTTCTTGTTTCAGGATCAGTAAGGACGAGTCTTCTATCAGGATCGACCTTCAACATAACGTGGCATCTGGCGTATCCTCATAGGGTGAGTATCTAAGTCAAATCTGCATCTTGTACTCTGCAATTAATACTTCATGCAAACTAGGTGATATCTTCAGGATAGTCAATGGAAGTTTTACCAAGACATGTGAATGTGAATGCAGGGGTGGGTTTATCTGTGTCGCTATGTTAATGATTAACATCAGCTGTTTATTTAACTTTACCTATGACCTTTTATTTAAAGACCAATGATTAATTATAAAGCGTAAGACTGACCTTTTATCTTTGAACCGGAGGCTTCATTCTTATTATAAATTCCAAATAATTAAATTCAAGTTGATACTCAAAATATCTGAAATGTCACACGATCCTTGAGAACATTTTCTGAAAGTCAACCTCCTCCAGTGGTCGGTCTTTCATAATCAGCTAATGTTAATGTGAGTATCTTTTTCCTTGTTTGAGTAGGCGTTTTGGTGCGTATGCGTCAATGTACTTCATCGATGTAAACATATAAATCAAAAATCTTCTTCACCCTATGGTAATTATTATAAATATTTATTCCTGTAAACCCTGATGAGAACGCATTTAAAGTGCCAAACTGTTTGCTCATTGCAATCCGTGGATTACTACAAAGATGTTTACACCGTATTTAATAACTGATTTAATTCAGTTACATTTTTCACTGTCTACTAGTGGAATTGTATGTAAAAGATTCCAACGCGTTTAAAGGAAAGTGGTCTAAGCCCCTTCTATTGTACATAAATATTGAGGATCGAACCCGTACATTTCACAACTAAGTGTAAAACGCTAAAACTCGAAACTCTTGAAAAGCATACACTTTTACTATTTACTTAATGAAGGAAAGAAGGCCAATCTGGGTGAGGATAAACAATACCTCTTACGCAACTCCAATACCCAAATATCGCTGCTCCCAATCCAAATCTAATAGCAGGTTGCAGCCGACCTAGACCTTTCAGTGACCTCTCCCCCCTAGCCCACTCACTAGAGTTGTTATTATGAGTCATTGTCTTATTTGCATTACCTCTTGTCATAATTTGCAGCTGCAACATTCCTAGAGATGTCATCACGTTCTGTAGCATCATCTGTCTGTATTTCTTTGTCAACCGTCATAAGATCCATTTGAACCACCTTGAAAGTGTTGTCATCATTTCAAGTTTGTATGCGTCGGTGTGTAAGTTTTCACAAACCGTACGTTGAATTTTTGAAATGTCATAGAATTGAGATAAAAAGGTAGCCGGATTTGAGTGGAATAGTGTAGAACGGGGAGACATGACCTGTTTATCTTTGTTATCGACTAAGATCAGCTGTTTCTGTCCAGGGTCATTTGTGCAAAACCTAATTGAAAAAGGGCCGGGTCCAGTTTTAACCCATCAACAAGCTATTAAAATATGTCCGGGTTGAACCGACAATCTTCTGAATACAAGGGGAACACTGTATCCCAAACATCCATTCTATTCTATTTCAATTATTAAAATGTTTTAAATAAATAAATTTTTTTCTCTGGAGGAAAAATGGTACAAAAAAGTTGATTAAATGTACTGCAATCCGTTTCTTTTCAACTGAACTCTATTTTTTGCACACTAAATAATCCATTGATATTCTCACCAGCATTATCTAGACTAACAGTTATTAAATTATCATACAACTGATGTTATGCTCTCGGGCAGCTTATTGTACACAATGGGTCCAAAATAAGGATACATTATCTGGTAGCGTTGGCATACTGAGCTTATTAATATACTGCGTGGTTTATAGTTAACTAGCTGTATGACCGTTCTACGTACGGGGATCTTGTAGTCAGTTGAAACCTTATTATATTCAGATCAACAGATGGATGAATATTAATTGTGCAGTTTTCCATATATGTTTGCAAACCTATTATAGGAATACTTACAACATTCGAGAAAACAATATCTGACAGCTGTCGTTGTTGGCTTGAAACCTCAAGCCAAACCAAATGCTTTGCAATTGAATGTCACCCGGATATAAATAGTTTTTTGTTCTATTTGATAATTAGGCCTAATGATTAACTTAACATTAAGCTGGTTCTTGGGAAAAGTTCCGGTACCGAGAGTCGTCGTCGAAATTTGGTTGTAGATAATTGGGTAGTCCTACGTACCAATAGGATATGGACTACAGGCCTATAGGTGGTTTGGTCAAACGATAGCAGCGCAATCGTGGTAAGTCGAAACCGTAAGTGGCACGTTGTTGGAAAAGCGATTTTTACGATGAAAAAAGAAATCGCAAAGATCTTCCGAGATCCACAACATCCGCGATCGCCCTGTGTAGTTGTGATTTTTTACTTGACACAACAGCATTCGAAACGCCATTAATGAGTGGAAACCTTGATTGTAGGCTTTTGGAGCTGATGATTAAAAAAATGTAAATTTCACAGTCCTGTACACTGATTCACGGTCTTTTTCCGGTTGTAAATATTGAGAGAAAACTTGACAAGATTCAGTACAAAATTATGGTTTTGATTGTATTTTTTTATTTCCAAAATCGTGAGACTATATTTTAATGGCTAAAGACACTCTCGCCAATCCTTTGAATATAATTTAACTATTAAAACATGATTTACGCTTATTTATATCATATACGCTATGGTATCACTGTCTGGGGTGGATCCACTATGGACAATCTTAACCGGGTCCTGGTTATGCAAAAAAGGGCTATCAGAATAACAGCAGGCATAAGTAAAGAACAAAGCTGTAGAGATGCCTTCAAAAACCTGAACATCCTGACGTGACTTCCATCTACATCCTAAATACTGTTTATTACTGTGTAACCAAAGACCCGCCTAAACAAAGAGATATACATGAATACAACACCAGATATACAGGAAATGTGCTGCCTGGCTACAGAACAGCAATGTTTGAAAAGAAACCACTGTATGCAGGAGTGAAGATGCTTAACAAATTACCAGACCACTTGAAAATTGGAGGCCCGTTGCTGATGAAGAGGAAGCTACGGAGATGGCTTGTAGACAAAGCTTTCTACACCCTAAATGAGTTCTTTGCATGGCAAGACCACACACAACACTGAAGAGGCTTTTTCATTTCACTTTGTATCTGTAAAATTTGACGCTGTAACATTTCTTGATGAAATTGTAATAAAGAAATTGTCTATTGTCTATTGTCTATTGTCTATTTATTACATGAACTATTACATAGTCTTCTTTTCTTTTACGCAGGCCGCATAAAATGCATTCTGGGCGGTGACAGACAGACAGACAGAAATTGAGATAAGACTTGTTTCGGCTTCTTTAATGTATAAAACGTAAAAACAAAAAAAAAATATAATTCTGAGCAATTTAGAGACAAAACTCTAATTTTATTTGTAAAGATTAATTGCATTATTTGTAAACAACTTTTAATGTAAACTTATCGGTAACAATTTGAAGAAACATCCTTTTTCCGGGCAACGGTTTGTTATTTAATAGATGACACATTCTCTAAACAGTGATTGCTATATCTAGTAATCATAGGACGAAATGTGACAAAAGTCGGAAAAATGTGTTTTTGGACGTTTGTAATTTTATTTCCTAAGTAACTTAGGCCATGTATTCTAGAGAAAAGTACCGGTATCAAGACACATCTTCAAAATGTGGTTATCGATAATTGGTTAGGCGTACGTATCCAAGAGATGGGCTATGGGCCGATTGGTATCATGGTGCAGCGATTGCAGCACATAGCGGTGAGTATAAACCGAAAGTGACACTTTGTAAAAGCAAGTTTAGCAGCATCCGTAAACCTCTGTTTCGACCACAACAAAATCGAAACGATCTTCCGAGATCACAGCAGCATCCATCAGCACCCACTGCAGTTTTGAGTATTTACTTTACAATTTGCATACGTTATTGAACGCATCATAAATTACACGTTATTGAAACGCCGTCAATGAGTGGAAACCCTGTTTGTAAGCTATTGGCGACGATGATTACAAAAAATGTAAGTTAGCCCTATTCAACACTGATTCACGGGATACACACAGAGTCTCCGGTTCCCAACCTGGATGATGCCTAGTTATTTTATTTAATTCATGGTTACACAGTTTTGCTCGTGCAATATTTCAAATCTGTTATGGAAGGCACAACAGTTTTAATCTAACTTGGTTTGGATTCGCTTACAAAACGTGTTCGGAAATAGTTGCACTATTTGTAAAAAAACATTATTAATATAAACATATCAGAGACAGCTAGGAAAAATCGTCGTGATCTAAATAGCTGTTCTTTTTTTTCATAGATGACGTACTTACCAAACAGATTATTAGTATTTCATAAATAATGACGTATGTGTTAAACATTGGGAGAACACTTGAAAAAAATCGCACAAAATTGGGTTTTTGAACGTCCACTATTTTATTTAAAAGTAGTGAGGCTATATTCTCACCAATCTAGTGAATACATTGAAATTGTTTGAATCTTGATAGATGTTCTAGTTGTCTCGGAGTAGGCCACGTTAAATTGGCAATTTGACGTTACATACACAATGACATACAGACAGACAGTCAGACAGAAATTGAGGTAAGACTCATGTTAGCTTTCTTAGGCCATGAAACGTAAAATATCCAAAAACTATAAGATTCTACGCAATGTACAGACAAAACTCTAATTTTATTTATATAGATAGATGACTCAACAACAACCATCACTGAAACTCCAAAGGTATCGTTCCGGCGTCCACCGCGAGTTGGCTCAAGTATAGTCACGCTATTTACCCTTTAGTCAACCACTACACAATTTTCCAATCACCTCCCTTACGTAACCGCCAATAATAACTTCCCTACTGACCCGTGGGCAGACGAGATGTCATAGCACTCTCTACAACGAAGCTCTCATTACGTAATGTAACTTGTCGGTGCTTTTACGTTCGATTAGTGTTTCGGAGTTAATTTGGCCATGTGAGCGGCGTCGGCGTGGCTAACAGAATCTGGTAAATGCTGGAAACATATTGCATACAGTTGATTATTAATGATTCGTGATCTAACTTAGAGTTTGAACCAAAAATGGATTCCATAGAGCTA